AAGAAAGAAAGAAAGAAAGAAAGAAAGAAAGAAAGAAAGAAAGAAAGAAAGAAAGAAAGAAAGAAAGTAAGTTAGATAATTTTTTTAAAAAAAGGAATTTTAGAAAGAGAGAGAGAAGCTTAATCCAACATGGCAACGATGGTTTGAGTCCCTGACCCAGTCAGCCTGCAGCACACAAGGCACATGTGCGAGTTCCCAAGACTTGATGACCCGATGGGAGGGAGCCATGGCGTGACTGGACCCTGTGGCGAGGGCTCATCTCTCTCTCTGGGTCTCATGTGCGTGCACTCTGTCACCACTCAGCTGACCTCGTCCTGGTGCTTGGTGTCCTGTGGAGAGGCTTTATGTTCAAATGCTAATTTTGCTCCAGCTGCCGTGGGACGAGTGACAGAGTGGCACAGCCTCGGGAAAGTCTGCCAGACATTAAAATGAGGTAGATCTGGGGGCCGGTAGGTGGTGTGGTGGGTAAAGGCTCTAAACTCCCACATGGCTGATCGTGGTTCAAGTCCCGGACCTGACAGCTTGCTTTCTCACTTTCCCTCTCTCTCTCTCTCTGTCCCTCTCTGGTCAAATGAAAATGGATCAATCAATAAATAAAAGTGAAATAAAAAGAAGTTCTTTAAATAAAAAAAAGATGAGGCAGATCTGAGGGTGAGTCTTGTTGGGAGACTGTCCTCCACAGGTCTCTTGTATTCCTTTTCTTTTTAAAGAATGATTTTATTTAACTTTATTTATGTATTTACGTAATACCGTGTTCGAGACCTGGACCTGGCAGCTTGTTTTCTCATTCCTCTCCCAACCCTGTCTCTTTCTGGTGAGTGCAAGCCCCTTATAGCAAATTAAAAGTAATATTAATTTTTAAAAATGAAATAATTTTTTAAAGAAAGATTTTGGCTATCGGGTGTGTGTGCTCATCAGACAGAGACAGTGAGACAGAAAGCGAGAAATCACCCCCCGGGGGGACGGCGACACAGCAGTTCCTTTTCTGTTCTCCTCTCCAGATCTTGGGCACGCACGCACACGCGCCCAGCGTGAGTTTTAAGTGGTCAGGTCTGGGACTCAAACCACTGTCGACTACGTGGGGGTCCAGTGGTGTAACCATTAGACCATCTACTGGTCCCAAATACATAATTCTTTTTTAAAAATGCAAATGAGGGACCAGCAGGTGGCATGGTGCTTAAGGCTCTGGACATTCCCACATGGCCAACCATGGTTCAAGTCCTGGACCTGGTGGCTTGCTTTCTCACTTTGTCTCTGTCTCTCTCTCTCTGGTCAAATTAAAAATGAATAAATAAATAAACTTAAATAAATCTTTTTAAAAAATGCAAATGATTTGGGGATCCACTGGGAACTGGCGTGGTGAAGGGAGTGGCATTGCTTTCCCAGGCTGTGACTTTGGGAGGGCAGCTTCCTGCCCAGGAAGGCCCTGAGGGTTGTTAAACTGCACAAAAGAACAGCCGCCCAGCCTAAGCCAATTTGCCTCCTCAAACACTGCTCTCAGGAACAGTTTTCAGCTGTTTTGCAGGTCCTCCCCAAGGCAGGGGCCAAAAGTTCCCAGGCTGAGGAGGCAGATTGCTGGACGCCTGACTGCTAGCTCCCCGCTGGCCTGTGTGACCGACGCAACCCTCCTCAGGTAGGAGCTTGGCTCCATCCCAGTCCTCCAAGGGGAGTGGCCAGAGGCCTGACTTCAAGCTGGCGCCGCTGATTTAGTCTGCACTGAGCCCGTCAGGCGTTAGTTTTCCCTACTCACCTTCCGGTGCAGAGCTCAATTTACGTTTAGTGTGAAGTCTCCACTGCACCATGAACATGGGGCGTATGTTACATGTGTGCAGTCGCTGTGAGCTCCCTCTGTATTTACAGTCGCTCCCCATCGCCCGTGTTGCCGCTGGAGCTCCGCTTCCTGTCAGATCCGGTGCGTCCGATTCTCATGGCAGTGTGAACCCTCTCGTGAGCTGTGCATTTGAGGGATGGAGGTAACGCACTCTCATAAATCACCCCTCCTGCCTCCTCCCTCCCGATCCATGGAACAATCGTCCTCTGCCTAACTGTCCCTGGTGCCAAAGAGGTTGTGGGGCTGCTGTGCTAAAATAGGCCTTTTGGCTTCTCTCACTCCCCACCATGACCTCTTAAAACTTGTCCAGACTGAAGCCTAGGAGACAGATCTGAGCTAGTTTCCTGTCTTCTCACAGATTGATCTCACTATAAAGTTTCTTTCTCTTTTTTTTTTTGGGGGGGGAGTTTTTGCTATAGGGTGCGTGCACTGGCCAGAAAGACAGAGAGAGACATAGAGACAGAAAGCAAGAAATCACCCCCCTCCCCAGGGGGATGGCCATGCCGCAATCCCTTCTTCTCCATTCTCCTCTTGGGATCTTGGGCACACATGCACATGCACCCTGCGTGAGTTTAAGCCACCGGGTCCGGGGCTCAAACTGTGGTCGACTACATGGGAGTCCAGTGACATAGCCATTACACTAACTGCTGTTCCCTAAAGTCCCTTTCTCAGAAGCTGCTGCTATAGACTGTCGGCTTCGATGCATGTTGGGCCGTGACCCCATTGTTTGGTAACGGGGGCTCACCTACTGAGCTGCTTTAACTGTTTGATATTCCCAGAGGTAAGGCGACATTATCAGTTCCCACAGAAAACCTTAATACTCAAGTTCTCTGTGACTCCTTGTCCCTATCCCCTGGAAACCAGGCAACCTGCCACCCAGTGCTAGAGTGGGTGAGGACTCTGCCCCCAAGAACTAAGCTTCATAGGCAGCTAGGAAGAACCTCCATGCCAGGGACTGTTGGAAGCATGCTTCCCTCTTGGTAGGAGTAGTGAGGGAGATGTTATGGACAGATTTAGCCCTGTGGCGGTTTCATGTGGTCACTGAGTATCAAATCAGATGGGACCAACTTGGTATGCGTTTTGAACATGGGACAGTGTTCTGGAGGGGAAGGACAAAGCCCTCTGGGAGTCTTATCAGGGTGCCCAGTCCTGTGATGAGCAGGGCCAGGAAGAAGACAGTGGCCAGAAAGATGCACCAGGGAACGGAGATGACTTGGGAAAAGGCTGCGAGGATCAGGCCGGGGCGCTCTGTGATCTGTGAGGAGAGGGGCTCTGAGGAGACGGCAGGTGTGGATAAGGAGTGGGGTGAGGGTGCAGTGATTGATTAGCAATGTCTGTCATGAGCGGAGAAAGGAGGCACGGTGTGGATGGGAGAAGGCACATGCGAGAGTGTGCCCTCTTGGTTTTGTTAGCTGTGCGAGCTTCACACTTTCTAGGTTGAGTGACGCTGATTGCTGCTCCCCACAATTTGGCTCAACTCCCAGAAACAGGGGCCCTGATCACCCCCTGTGTCCCTAAGGCAGGGGAGATCAGGTCTCCAAAACAGGCACCCAGTCAGCAGGGTGTGTGAGTGTGTGTGTGAGTGTGTGAGAGAGTGTGCGCGCACAGGAGGAGACTGACATCCAGGCCCCTCGCAGAAAGCACGCGATGCTCACGGCCTGCGTTTGGGGTCCCACAGCCTTGTCTCAGCCTCATTCTGAGGGCTGCCACTCCACTGCCTGACCCACTTGGGTGGTGGAAGTGGGGTCGGAGAGAACTGTTTCTCTCCATGTTAGCTGTGAAGATTGGGTCCTGGAAGAGCCAGGGATGCCCATTCCCATCATGCTAAACCCCCTTCATGGAGAGAAAGGGGGCCCTGGGTCCAGCCCCATGAACAGCTCAGTTGATTTCTTCCAGGTTTTCCAATCCCAGAGCAGAATGCTCCACTCAGCAGAATCGGTGCTATTCCAGAAGAGAGGGCTCTTCGGTTGTTTATTTCTTTCCAAATCCAAGTGAGTGATGTCACCAATTGCTGGCGAGTTTTCTGCACGCCCCTCCCCCTCTTTCCTCGCAGAACCAATTGTTCCCGTAGCAAGACGGGCACGAATGCCGCCAACAAACAGGTGGGTCCTCCACCTTGGAAAATCGGGTGATGTCGTCATTGCTCAACGGACTTGTTGGTGGCTCTTCTTCCGTGGCCTTCTGGAGTGTGTCAGTGTGGTCTGTGGCTATGGGAGCTGAGCTCGCCGGCCTGGAGGAGGCCGGGCTGCTGCTCTCGGACATCACAGGGCTAGTCTGACACAGAATGCACCAGGGAGCGCTCCAACTGGCCCTCCTTCAGGTCCTTATCAGTGGGCTGCCACGAGTCCACGTCCTGCACCTTGGTGGTGGGCGGGCTTAAGGCCCTGACGGACGTCTTGCTGCCTTTGTTCTGGGACTTTCCCATGGGTCGCTTAGGCCACTGCAATGGCTTGGTGAGCCTCATGGCTGTCTTTCTGAAGGACTGTGGCTTTTTTGAGGTGTCAGAGACAATCGGGTCGTGGAAGTACCACCAATGGTGAAGCAGGTAGACTGGGATCGGCAGAAGGGTGAGGATGCTGAGGAAGGTGACCCAGCCCAGGTCGCGTTTCAGGTAAGGCTGTCTGACTTCCTGGCTCTGGGGGCAGAGAAGGGGGGGTCGGGTTCCGGTCTCCATGCTGCTGGGTATCCGCCCCCCCCACCCCCCAGGGGCTGGGAAGCTGACTGAAGGGTCCCCGAGGGCAGCAGGGCCCAGACGCAGAGTTCGAAGGGTGGCAGATGTGATGGGGTGCCCGCGGGGGGGCTCACCGCGCTGCTGTTCCAGGCGACGTAGTAGGGCGTGCCCCTGTGGTAAAGCTGTACAAGGCAGATGGCCAGGAGGCCCAGCAGCCCCGGCAGGGTCACGTAGCACCACAGGAAGGTGAAGATGGGCAACAGCAGGTGGCCCAGCTTGCTGAAGATTTCCTGCCTGAACCTGGGGTCGGGGGTGGTCAGGGACGTCTGGGTCTGGGGCGTCTCCTCCTTGGGAGAGCCGGCCTGCCAGCCGTTTGCTTTGCTGACAAGTTCCCAACTCTTAGGGGTTTCCAGGTCTGGCCAGGGCCTCTCTTGAGGCATGGGCTCTGCATCCGGTCTTCCCTGTAGATACCCCTTGATCCCGGAGGGCTTCCTGCCCCTGCCCCTGCCCTCTGCCTTCAGGTGAGCCCATAACAGCGGCTCACATAGGGCCCCCTCCCACGCTCCTGCAGCCTTAACACGGGCCCCCTCCATGCTGCGGCCGGCCAGAGGGAGCACGTGAGCCCCACACTCCTCACAGACTGAGGGAGCCCATGGCTCGGTAGTCCCAGGGCCAGGTATCACCTCTTAGCTCCGTAGATCCAGGCCAGCCCCATATTCTGGAAGATCATGATGACAGCGATGGTCAGTGGGACCACGTGGTCGTCCACCAAGCACATTATGTAGCTGCCGGCTTCGCTGGAGAAGACCAGGCTACTCAGAAGACCTCCCAAGCAGACGATCACTAAGACAGGGCAGGTTTGGCCACAGTGAGGTCTATGAGTAGGGCATAGCCAGGGTCAAAGCCAGCCCTGGAGGTTTGGGGTGAGCCAGGGGGAGGGCCGCAGTGCAGGCACTTTGCTGCAATGAGAATCAGTACCTGGGACCACCTTGGGATGCTTTATGAAGATGGGGATGGTGTTCTGGAGGGGAAGGACAATGCCCTCCGAGAGTCTTATCAAGGTGCCCAGGCCTGTGATGAACAGGGCCAGGAAGAAGACGATGGCCCAGAAAGATGCACCGGGGAACAGTGAGACGGCTTGGGAAAAGGCTGCGTAGCTCAGGCCAGGGCCCTCCATGATCTGTGAGGAGAAGGGCTCTGAGGAAGCGGCAGGTGTGGATAAGGAGTGGGATGATGGTGCAGTGATTGATTAGCGATGTCTGTCTCGGGCAGGGAAAAGGCACAGGTGAGAGTGTGCCCTCTTGGTTTTGTTAGCTGTGTGAGCTTCACCTATGGGGACCTCAGTTTCCTCTTCTAAAAACAGAGATTTGGGGTAGACATAAACAAAACCTAGCAGAGGCCATGCTGTGCCAACGGGGCGGTAGAAATGTGGTCGTGATTACTGCCTCACAAGAAGTTGAGAGGCTCCCCAGGGCTTCCCAGGGTTCTCTGGGGCCTTGAGGAAGCACCTTCCCACCCTCCCACCCTCACCCCCACCCCCCGCACACACCTTTCCCTTCTGCACGGTGATGGCACAGGAAAGGGAGAGGCGAATGACCTGGTACTGGAGGTGCTGGGGGAGGGTGCTGATCCAGTCCAGGTAGTCTAGGGGGGGCCTGAGCAGGATATCTTTAGGGGGCTTGGCAGCCTGAGGCAGTATGCCCTTGGATATCAGCTTCATCAGCATTAAGACACTCCTGAAGTGAAAGAGGAGGGAAAGAAGGATGGTGGCCAACAGGCCGGCCCCTCTGCCAGCTCCCTGTCTCCCTGAAAACGGACGCCTGGGTGCACCAGCGTGTAGACAACTCAGGCTTCCTACTGAGTTGGTCCTCTTATCACTATGAGATGCTCTTCTCGACCTCCAGTATTGTCCTGACTTTGACTTCAGTATAGCCACTCTAGCTCCGTCTTACTGTAAACCCGTCCCTGGCTTCATCGAGGACCTCTCTTGTACACAGGTTATTATTAGTTTTACGTTTTCTTTTTTTTTTAAGAGATTTTTTTGCTATAGGATGCATGTGCTTACCAGAGACAGAGAGTGAAAAATCACCTCCCCCCAACGAGGATGGCCACGCCACAGTCCGTTCTCCTCCATTCTCCTCTTGGGATTTTGGGCATACACGCACACACATCCGGTGTGAGTTTTAAGCTGCCAGGTTGGGATTCGAACTGTGGTAGACTACATGGGAGTCCAGCGATGTAACCATTACGCCATCTGCTGGTCTCCAGGTTATGTTTCAGTCTTGCATTGTCTACTCTGACAACTGCGGTCCTTTAAGGGGAGGTATTTATTTAATAGAATACTTGATATGGTTGGGCTTATGTCTTATCTTCTCGCAATTTTCTCCACTTTCTTTTTTTTCTTTTTTTTAAGTTGTTTTTTTCCATAGGGCGTGTGAGCTTACCAGAGAGAGAGAGAGAGACAGACAGACAGACAGACAGTGAAAGAAAAAATGAGAAATCATCCTCCAGGGTGATGGCCACCCCTAACCCCTTCTCCTCCATTCTCCTTCTGGGATTTGGGCACACACACACACACACACACACACACACACACACACACACGCAGCGTGTGTTTAGCTACCGGGTCCGGGACTCGAAGTGCAGTAGGCCATGTGGGAGTCCAGTGCCTTAAGCACTCTGCCACCTGCTGGCCCAGCTATTTGCTTTTCTTTGTTTTGTCTCGTCCTTGTTTCTGCCTCTTTTTAGTATTTATCAAATGTTTGGGGCGCTCTATTTTGTGTTCCGGGTCGCCTTTTCTAGATACACCTCTTTTGTGTTCAGTGATTAGACCTATGTGTCCAAGATGGCGGCCACTAACAAACTGTGGCTAGGAGTACTTGAAATGTGGCTAAGACGACGGAAGAGCTAAATTTTAAATTTTATTAATTAAAAAAATTTAAAAATAGATTATTCAGTTATTGGGAAACCTTCCAAGTAGAACATTAACAACTTGGGTGTGTGAGCTTTTTTTTCCAGGTATACATTTTAGTGAAATCTAAGTTCAAATCAAGTATTTGCCTTCAGTCTCAGTACAGATTTGTTGGTGAGAATTCCCTCTGTCTTTGCCTGAAAATTTCTCCATTTCATCTGCATTGTTTAAGGATATTTTTGCTGACTGTGGAACTCTGGCTGACTGATTCTTTCAGCATTCTAAAACATCTCATCCCACTTTGTTTTGACTTCCACTGTTTTTTTTTTTTTTCTCAAAAAACATTTAATTTTCTTTATCATTATTGTTATTTTAAAAAATTTGCTATAGGACGAGGTGCCAGCAGATGGCATAATGGCTATGTTGTTGGACTCCCATGTAGTCGACCATGATGGTTTGAGTCCCAGACCCGGTGGTTTGAACTCACACTAGGTGCGTGTGCATGCATACCCAAGATCCCGAGAGGAGAATGGAGGAGAAGGGATTGTGGCGCGGCCATCCCCCCTGGAGGGTGATTTCTCACTTTCTGTCTCTCTGTCTCTCTCTGTCTTTCTGGCACATGGCATGTGCTCTATAGCAAAAATCTCTCCCTCCCCCCCCTAAAAAAAATTGCTAAGGTGCCAGTTCTGGGACTTGAACCGAGGCCCACCATGTGGAAATCTCGCACCTTAACCACCACACCACCTGCTGGCCTTCTATTACTTCTTATTAGAAGTTACTCATCATTATTACCATTGTACCACTGTATGCAATTTGTTTTTAAATTTTCTGATGACTTAAAAAATATCTTATTTAACTTTATTTATTTATTTATTTTTATTTGACCAGAGAAGGACAGAGTGAGAGAGAGAGGGGAAAGTGAGAAAGCAAGCTGCCAGGTCTAAGACTTGAACTGTGGTCGGCCATGTGGGAGTCCTGCGCCCTCAACCACCATGCCACTTGCCAGCTCCAATTTTTTGGTGACTTTAAACATTTACTTTTTTTCCCCAGAGGGTACATGTGCTCACCAGAGAGAGAAACAGAGAGAGGGAAATTGAGAAAGCACCCCCTGCCCCCATGGGTGGTGGTCATACCGCAATCCCTTCTCCTCCATCTCGCCCACCGTGTGGGATTTGGGGCACACATATGTGTGCTTGGCATGTTTCTCTAGCTACCTGGTCTGGAACTCAAACCACACAGTCAGTCATGTGGGATCCAGCCATCTTAACCACCACCTCATGGTGGTTTATTTAGCTTTCAAAATCAAATTTTTTGGAGAGGTTTTTGCTATAGGGCGTGAGCGCTCGCCAGAGAGATAGAGAGAGACAGAGAGTGAGAAATCACCCCCCAGTGGGGATGGCCACACCACAATCCCTTCTCTATTTTCTTCTCGGGATCTTGGGCACACATGCACATGCGCCCAGAACCTTTCAGAAATTTAATCAACAAATTTGGCCATGATGTGCTAAGATGTGATTTTCCTTGTATTTATTTTGTTCGGAATTTTAAAAAAATATTTTATTTTACTTTATTTATTTAAATTTGATGGAGGCCTGGTGAGAGAGTAAGCTCCCAGTTCTGGGATTCAAACCATGGTTGGCCATGTGGGAGTCCAGGGCCCTTAACCACCACGCCACCTGCTGGCCCCTTGTTTGGAATTTTCTAAGCTTCCATGGTCTGTGTTTTAAATCATATCTGCGAAAACTCTGTCCACTTTGTCCGGTTATACGCGTATTAGTCTTACCGTCACCGATGCGATGTTCAGCTTTTCTTTCCCCCTCTACGAACTGCCCTTTGTAAACCCTCTCAGCCATCTTCGCCTTAATTGACCCTCTCTTCTGCTACTTCCTATCCATACTGAATCCATCCAGTGAAACTCTGATTTTTTAAAAAGAATTATATATTTAATTTTATTTGTTATTATTATTTTTTAATTTGACCAGAAAGAGACAGAGAGAAACAAAGTGAAAGTGAGAAAGCAAGCCACCAGGTCCAGGACCTGAACCACAGTCAGCCATGTGGGAGTCCAGGGCCTTAACTACCATGCCACCTGCCAGCCCAAACTGATTTTATTTGCTTTTCCAGTTCTATAATTCCCATGAGGTTCTTCTTCTTTTTTTTTTTTTTTTTTTTTTTAGAATTTTTTATTTAAGGAGTCAGCAGGTGGTCTGGTGATTAAAGACACTGGATTCCCATTTGGCCAACTGTGGTTCAAGTCCTGGACCTGGTGACTTGCTTTCTCACTTTCCCTTTCTCTCTCTCTGTCTGGTCAGATTAAAAAATAATAATAACAAATGTAATTAAATAAATAAATAATCCTTAACAACAACAAAAAAAGAATTATTTAATTTTGGGACCAGCAGATGGTATAATAATTATGTCACTGGATTCCCATGTAGTCAACCACAGTTCAAGTCCTGGACCCGGTGGCTGAAAACCCATGCCAGTGCACATGGGTGTGTGCCCAAAATCCCAAGAGGAGAATGGAAGAGAAGAGACTGTGGTATGGCCAACCCCACTCGGGGATGATTCTTGTTTTCTGTCTTCCTGTCTCTCTGGCAAGCACATGCACCCTATAGCAAAAGACCTTGCTATAAAAATAAATAAATAAATAAATTTTATTTATTATTATTTTCGAGAGGTTTTCTGCTATCGGGCAAGTATGCTTGCCAGAAAGACAAAGAGAGATAGAGAAACAGAAATCACCCCCCAGGGGGATGGCCACGCCGCAATCCCTTCTCCTCCATTCTCCTCTCAGGATCTTGGGCATGCACGCACACGTGCCTGGCGTGAGTTTAAGCCAAAGGGTCCAGGATTTGAACCGTGGTTGACTACGTGGAAGTCCAGCGACATAGCCATTATGCTAACTGCTGGTCCCTATTATTATTATTTTTAATTTGCTATAGGGCAGGGACCAGCAAGTAGCTGGCCCCTGGTGGTTAAAGGTGCTGGATTCACACATGGCCAACTGTGGTTTAAATGCTGGACCTGGTGGCTTGCTTTCTCGCTTTCCCTTTCTCTCTCTCTCTGTCTGTCTCTGGTCAAATTAAATAAATAATAATAACAAATGGAATTAAATAAATAAATAAATATTTTTAAAAAATTTCTATAGGGGGTCCGTAGGTGGCGTGGTGGTCAAGGCGCTAGACTCCCACATGGCCGACCATTGTTTTGAGTCCTGGACCTGGCGGCTTGCTTTCTCATTTTCCCTCTTTCTCTCTCTCTCATCAAATTAAAACAAATGAATGAATAAATAAAATTAAATAATTCTTCGGACCAGCGGTTGGCGTAATGGCTATTTTGCTGGACTCCCATGTAGTTGACCGTGGTTCGAGTCCCGGACCCAGCGGCTTAAACTCACGCCAGGTGTGTGTGCATGCGTGCCCAAGATCCCAAGAGGAGAATGGAGAAGGGATTGCCGTGTGACCATCCCCCCTGGGGGGTGATTTCTCGCTTTCTGTCTCTCTGTCTCTGTCTGTCTCTCTGGCAAGCGCACGTGCCCTATAGCAAAAACTTCTCAAAAAAAATAAAAAAGAGAATTCACTTTGCCCTTGAGCCAAGCCCCCAACTTTCTACATCTCCCATCAGGGACCAGTTCCTTTGAGTTGTCATTAGTGGAGTTGGAGTGGTTTAGGTTGCAGCTTTAGGAGGTTTTGGGTTATCTTCATGTTCAGCTCTAAAGGGGTTCAGAATTCTAAGCCCCGTAAGACTATGAATACTCTCTGCTTGAAAGCCCCGTCTCCACTGCAGTGTCTGCGACTTCTTCAGCACAATTCCTAAGGATGGGGTAGGGAGAGGGGCCAACAGAGGGTGTAGTGGTTCTGTCACTGGACTTCCACATAGTTGACTGCAGTTCAAGTCCTGGACCTGGCAGCTTAAAACTCACACTGGGTGCGTGTGTATGCGTGCCCGAGATCCTGAGAGGAGAATGGAAGAGAAGGGATTGCGACGTGGCCATTTCCCCTGGGGAGGGGGGGTTGACTTCTTGCTTTCTGTTTCGCAAGTGCACATACTCTATAAAAAAAAATCTCTCTGAAAAAAAGAATGATGTAAGGAGAAATGTCAGATGAAGCGATTTATTTTTGTGTTGGGGATCTTTAAGAATCTAGTACCTGTTGGCAGCCCACACTGTTATTAAATGCTTGGGTGGTTTCCTCTCATCTATACGAAGTCTGTTCCTCCACCACACTACCCAGACTACACACCCGCCCCGACAGGAAAGCATTCATGTCTCCTTGCTCATTTACGATGGCCTGATTGCTCTCTGGGATTATTTTTTCTTTTCTTTTTTTGGAGAGGTTTTTGCTATAGGGCACGTGCGCTCGCCAGACAGAGAGAGACAGAGAGACAGAAAGCAAGAAATCACCCCCCAGGGGGGATGGTCACGCTGCAATCCCTTCTCC